TTAATTATTTACTTGTTCCCAACTCCTTTCATTTAATTTTCTACGATGAGAATGGCCAGTTGGTAGCCTAACTTTTCACCTAAATTTCTATCAAATTTAAATTTCAAACAGCCAAACTTAATTTCCCCTAATTTTCAATCAATTGGGTTTATTTATTTTTTTTTTCAATTTCAATTTCATTTAACAGGTGCGACGCTATGTTTACCACGACGTTGTCCGATTAGGCGATCTCGAGAAGCTCATCGACTGCTCCTATATTCAGGTACTAGTAATTTATGGTGACGTTAGTCTCTTATTGATTGGTTGTATGTGTAACCGATGATGCTGATAATGTTAATTTGTGTTGTGGTGGTGGTGGCGGCCGCTGCAGCCCTATACAATTAACCATGCCAAGGTTATATTCCTGAATCAGAGGCCTCAATCCAGGTCTTGTAAGGGCTCTGCCAATATGTGCTTCACTTGTGATAGGATTCTCCAGGAATCTTTCCATTTCTGCTCTCTTTCTTGCAAGGTTATTGAATTTCTCTTTAAATTTTGATCAATTAAATATAATTAATGTGTTTGAGTAACTTTGAAATGTGACAAATTGGTATATGTATATACATATATAGGTTGATTACATGGTGTACCAAGGGCAAGATCTTTCAAGCATTCTCTTCAAGATTCATGAATCCGATTTCGCAATTTCACAATTCGAGGGACTAAGAGTTGATGGTTCGGAGATTATCGACGACGATGGTCAAATTACACCCGACTCCATCCTGGAGGATCCATTGCAGTACCAAAATTCTTCGTGTTCCAATGACAACATGGGCAGTTCGGAGATTTCACATGCGCCGGTTGTGGTTAATAAGAAGAAAAAGGGTTTTCTCCCTGGTATTGTTCTGTCCCTCAGCAACAGGAGAAAGGGAGCTCCACAGAGGGCTCCTCTTTCTTAGATTAATGATGGTGGGATTATTAACAATAAGATTATCTATAAATACATATTTTTAATTAATTAGGGCGCTAATAGGGTTGACGACGGTCGTGGTTTAATTAATTAATCACGTGTAATTCTAGCACGGTTAATATTTACATCGGCGGGATTTCATTTTCCGTTCTTCTTATTTTCGTTTCCGAATTCGATCGGAGCATTTCCGTTACTGACCTTAGGTGAATGTAAAGAGGCTTAAGCCAAATTGTTGGCTAGTCTCTTGATTTCATCAATTTTGTACTTGGATCATGTAATGGAACTTGCAAGTATATATATGTTATTTCTCTTAATTAATTGTCCTTTCTTGTCAATTCCTTAATTTTTATTTTTATTTTTATTTTATGAAAAAGAAAAAAACAAAAATATGCATTACTCCAAAGAGATCAAATAATTCTCATTTTAAGTTGGAAAAGAGGATATGTTTCTAAATTTAATTGGTAAATTTTTTTTTAGAGAATTTGAGATAAATTCTAGCTAGATGGCAAATATTTAGTTAATAATTATAACTAAATCAACCAATTCAATAATGTTATCGAGTCAAATTTAAAATATCTTATCTGAATTATTGATGACTTAGTCAAATAATTTGACCAGTGGGTTGCTCTCACAAAGTCTAGGGTTTATAGAGCCTAGTGTTCGAACCTGAAAACAAGTTTGAAGAATTCATGAATGATCGATCAAATATAAATATACCCCCAATGTAAAATATTGTGTTACTCAAACCAAATTTGTTCAGTCAACAATTTGAATGTCATCCGCTCTCACAAAGTTAGGTGTTTGAATCCCTAAGTGAGTTCGAAGAAACAACTATTTGTATAAAATGTTGAATTATGTGTTATTCAAACCCAAAACTGTTCGGTTTATAATTTGAATGTTATTCGCTCTCATAGAGATTAAGATCCTCGAACAAGTTCGGAAAATTTCTGAATGACCAAACACGAAACTATATGCCCTCCACATGTAAAATATGGGAAAGACATAAAATCATGAACTAGTCAAACCAAAAATAATTTGGGGTAGAAAAATTGAATGTATAGTTGTGATAAAAATGTGAAAAAAAAAAAGGACATGTACCAATTTGTATTTCAATTTTAGAGAAGAAAACAAAAACATTCAAAACTTTGTTCAAAAGATTAGCTGGTCAAGTATCACGTAAACTTGAAATTCTTGGAATTAATGATGGATGGTTCACGGGATAAGTTAAACCCAATTTCGGTAAGTTTTCAATATCATGTTTTTCTTATGAAGGAAATGTATTGACCCAATTGAAAATTCATCCTTTCTATTTTTTGAACTTATTCAGCCTTTTGTATATATCTAAAGGTAAAAATTCAATCAAATTTTTTCATGTTAAAAACTCTAAACTTTTGTTTTTTAACATTTACGACACCGTTTGTTCATTATATATATATACCCACATCTATCACGATCATTTGGAGAATATTTAAATGTACTGTAAGAGAAATAGATGTATATATGAAAAATTTCGAGATGATGATGCATGGTGGCGGTGGGTGGTGGTGGTGGTGGTGGTGGTGATTACGAAGAGGAGAGTCAAATTTGGTACAGAAGTTTGTTAAGGGACAAAGTTTGACAGGTTGCATATACAAATGTTGTCCGTACACTTTGTTTTACTTGTTACCCTTTCACTATGAATTTACATCAAAAGCTTCACATTCCCATGTGCCATTTTTAAAGAGATAAGCTAACCATCCATCCTTTAATTTTCTTTTTCTTTTTCTATTTTTTTAATTTTTTTTTTCTCTTATTATATTTATGAGTTATCATTATATGGTAGAACATACTCAATAATCATCAGAAAACTTATGTATTATGAGAGAAAGTGATCAAACTTCATAATCAAGAATTGGGCATTGGCAGAAAACCCATCCATGGGTAGCTCATATGGTTATGACAAATTGGAGATAGTGTGAATAAGTGTACGATCTCAAGTTTGATTCTCTGTCCAAGTATCCGCGATTTAATTAGGGAGCTGTGTGTTTGGGTTGTTACGCTAGTTTTCTCTAAAGATTAGTCGAGATGTACGTAATAATAAACTGGTTCGGACATTTTGATTAAAAAAAAAAGACAAATAAAAAAATAAGGAAAAAAAAAAAGAGGTTGAGGGAATTTGTGCTTTGTTGTATATGTTATCGAGAAAATCAAGAGGGGTGAAGAAAGTGGCGTCTCACTCGTTTGACAGAGAAATTCACAGTGTGATGTGTTTGTAAGCTTCACAAAATGACAATGGTAATAAACCCGAGGTTCAGCCCTCAGCCCTCATCCCTCAGCCTCAATTCGCTGACCATGTGCCCTTTTCGAATCTCCCTTTTGATCCCTACGTAATTTTATTCCTCTTAAATCTTATTCTAATCTAACTCCATTTTTAATTAATTAATTAATTAACCCTTTTTTTGTCAATATTAATTCCAACTTGTAATGCTAATTACCAATATGTTTGATAAGAGATGTTATCAATTTGCAGATAATGTTCTCAGAAAGTTATGGAAAAACGACAAATTTAAAATTACATTAAAAAAATAGAAAATATTGTTCATTGGTATTGAATTTTAGAGTCTGTTTGGTTAGTTATTTTGGTACTTTTTATAATAATATTTTGAAAATTGTTAAATTGAGTGGGTATTATGATATAGGATTTGAAAATTAACAAAAATACTCTTTATGTTTGTTTATTTACTAAATACCCCTATAATAAAATATTAAAAGTTGACAAAAACACCCACACCCATTAAATACGGATAGTCGGCCACCATCACCGGAGGGGTGGCTGGAGTCGCTGTCTCGACGCTTGACAGACTGGATCTTACCGATCGTGTGCCGATATGGCCTTTTTCGGCCAGATCCACAAAAAAATACTAGATCGGCGCACTACCGACCAGATTCAGTCGGTAATGCGCCATTATACCAAATTCCAGCGGTGGTGGCCGAAATCTGGTAAATGTGGGTAGTTGGGGTGTTTTTGTAATTTAAAAAAAAAATTGAGGGTGTTTAGTTAAATTAACAAATTTAGGAGGTTTAAAAGAAATTGAATAATATAGAATAATATTTTGGGAATAAGCCAATTTTACTATTTAACTTTATTGGAAAAATGCATAATGCTATTTGGAAGAGTGAATCAAACGGAGCCTTAATAATCGATATACATTGTTGACTTAAGTATTACTCAAGCAGGTAAATCAAATAAGAGTAATACTAGCCTTACAAAGAGGCATACAAATAGTCAAATCCAACCTTTGAAAGAAGGGAAAGAGAGAGAGAAAAAAAAACAATCATGAATTTCAAGGGCTAGATTTGATTCTTTGTACGACTCTTTATATGTCTCTTTGTAAAACTAGTATTATTCATAAAATAAACCTGAGTATTAAGTGTCCATTGTTCTTCTACTGCCAACATAAAACTTGTAATATTATGTAACATAATTCTATATTGTTTATTATAAATATAGCAAGAAAATTTTGATGGATACTCATTGTAAGATGGGGTTTTAATTCTCGAAGTTCAAAAACAAAATCATAAACATAAAAGAACTTAGAAAAAGAAAATATTATCGATCTTGTAATTAGAAAATATTGTTAAAAAAAAAAAATAATAATCAAAAGAAGGGAAAGGGGAAGGACACTTGTAAAGCCCCAAAGGGTGATGCATGGCCAAGAAAAAACATAAAGCGTCTTCATGGAATGCCACATGGTTATACATACTTATAATTGGAGTATTATTTTTGGAGCTTTATAGCAATGGGGCTCATATTATTAGGTAAGTGGAGTCAGATTATTCACATGGCTTGTCACATTCTATTCTCCTTCTATGATAATAAGAGTAAGAGAAAATAAAAAAAGAATATTATAACCTAAGACAAATAAAGAGAAGGAGAGAGAGAGAGGGACTTTTGTACGTGGCAAAACTTTCATAAGAAAAAAATCTAGAATATTGTAAGAGTATCGACCAACTTATGTGTACTTCGACTAATTTTCAAAGCATATTGAATACCCTATAAATCCAGTGTTCCAAGGTAAATCACAAATATAATAGGTGGTCTCAAGGTGGTTTGAATTCAGGAAGTCAATAAAAGGAGCAAACATTCTTGATCGTCAAGTCAACACTTAGGGTTAACGTTTGATTTTTCTCTTTGTCATCTATTTTTTTCAATTAAAGTTATGTTACGTATACAAAATTGGGATCTTATTTGATATGGTTGTTAATGTAATAACACCACATGAGTTGTAGAAAACACAATATCACACCACAAAAAGGTACAATTCATGTGGTACACACATGAATAGCTACTATATCAGTTGAGATCTGAGATTCAGATCTTTTTTTTTTTTTTTTTGTATGTATAATATTATTGCTAAAATTAATTAAAAATCTATATGTTATCTATATTGACTTGTAGTACCTTTGATACTATATATTGGTATCAATTTTTTTTTTTTCCCCAAATATATCATATTTTTACATCTTAATGAAAACTATAGGTTTGGCTACTCCAAGGTCCAAACCCTAGATAGATATAACGATACTTATATATGCCCTTGATTTGGGCACATACCAAATTCTTTATAGAAAGATGCCATTTGATGTGGATATAGGATATGACTAGCCATACTCCAACTAGGTAGCTTCATGCTGTGAAGTTGCGGAGTAATTTAGCGTAATTCGGCATATTGTTTAAAATTTAAAGTATAAAACATGAGGATGAGTATAACAAAACATACTGGTGACTACACGATTTAGGTATTGCATGATATGATTAATTAGTATA